AAACCTAGGCAGGGGAACAATTGGTCCAGAGCATTGACTTGCCCCTGGGAGCGCCATGACCTTGCTACGCCTCTGATTACCATGCATGTTTCCTATTACTTGGCTATTCATATCGATGTTAATTTTACATAAATGAATATGATGTTTATGTTCCATGTTTCAATGGATGTCACTTTATTGTTACAATGCTGATTTTTAATAAACACTTTTAAAAAACGTTTTCAGTTTATTAATACGCGTTTCCAAGATTTTTCAAATATTAATAAAGCACATCTAAACCCAAAAGGAAAAATTGTTAATATTGTAGCCATCATCAGATGTGGTAGCTAAGTTTGTTTTCTTTTTTTAGGCTTTGTTTCCTTTATTTTAACCTGGTGATCTGGACTGTATGCCTGTTTTTTTTAAACTTCCTTTACCAGGCCAAGGTGTCTGGTAAAAGTAGCAGTTCAAGAGTTATGACAAACCAATTTAACAAAAACAGGGGTGCTTACAATGGTCAGCTTTTATTAATGTATGTAAAACTTACATCCCCGAAGGAAAGAAAAAACTTTTGCTGTAACTTCTTAAAAAGTGTTAGCTGGAGTTCGGATTTTATTTGTTAGTCATGTCCATCTAAATGTTCTAGTCCATCTAACCAGGGGTATTAAAAAAGTAACACAGCGCTGAGGGTGAGCAAACAAATAACAATACCCAGTGTTGCAAGTGAAAACATATTCCTCATGAAGTGATACGTCAAATATGTAAAAATGAATAAATAAAAAAATATGAATAAAAAAATAAATAATCAAGTGAAATGCAGGGTGGGTCCCTTTCCCTGCACACATGTGCTGCTCCCCTTACCTGCAACCCAAAGTGCCATCAGTACACATTGCAACCCCAGCCTGCCTCCGAGACATCCCGCCGTCAGATTTCATGCCAGCCCCGAGCCACCCACTGCTTCTCCTCCACCTCCTGCCAGCAGTTCTCCAATTAGGCGGTTGCCTAATTTGCCGGATTAGGCAGCCACCACTGCCTGATTCTGTCCGGCTTGATGGCCAATCTGGCCTGTGCCTCACTGGTATAGGGGTGGCGTTTTTTGCCGCCCCCTCTGGAAAGTGTGAATACAAAAATAAATAACCAAGTGAATTTAAAGTGAGCAAATCTAAATCTCTGTATCACATCTCTGTATGTGAATAAAAAAATAAATAATCAAGTGAAATGAACGTGATCAAATGTAAATCTCTGTCTCAGGTGGGCTGTGCAGGGATGGTTGGGTCTATGGAATCTGACTGCGGGATGCACTGCACCCTGCACAGCCCACCTGAGA